TTTCTGTGAGAGAAATTCAAAGGTTGTCGATTCCAACGGTTCATAAGCCTCACTTGTGAGGTGTTGGAGCACTATATTCAGATCCCAAGCTGGGGCGTGGAACTTCCGCTTTTGATCCTCCAATCGGAAAGCACGCGCGTAGTAAGGCCAGTAACTCTGGAGTCTTGGTTAACTTGACACCCGTTCTCATAGTTATCACAGAACTAAAGCGGCAAGATATGTTGTTGAAATGTCGAGCCTTTTAAATGTTTGTTTTGGCGTAGGTAACACAAATAATCTGCCACTTGTGGATGAGTAGCATCTCTCGCTGTAAATCCCTTATTTGCTGCGTAATTTTGAAACTGTGCCACTTGTCGTCGTACAAGTTACGTGTAGAATAGCGTAAAGCAAGCGTGACTGCTTTTGCCGCTCTGGTTGAATATCCTCTCTTGTTTAAACACATTTTAATACAGTCCATACGTGAAGTTGGAATACTCCTGGGCTTCCGTGCACCTGTTTGGTGTGTGGATGAACTAATAGATTCGAGCGCTTTGGTAGCTCTAGTGTTGGTTGACCGAGTTCTTGAATTAGAATGGGAAACCACGTTCTGGCTGGCCAGTAGGGCGCGACCAAAGTGAGTTGGAGGCTCTGTGTTTGTCTGATTTTCTGTAACACTTGAGGGATTATTGCTGGCGGCGGAAACGCGTACGCATTGAGGCCTTCCCAGGATATGCTTAGAGCGTCCGTTGCCCATGCTTGTGGGTCCGGGACTGGTGACACGAATGTTGGTAGCTGATTGTTGAAGCGTGTGGCGAATAGATCTATTAGCGGAGCTCCTATTTGCTTGATAATCTGTGCAAAGATTTCTGTATTGAGCATCCATTCTGTCGGTGACGGTTGATGTGGCGAGAGAGTCGTCTGCTAGTACATTCTTGGCTCGGGAATGTGACATGCTCTGACATGTAAGTTGAGATCGTGGATTAGATCGAACAGTTGAAAGCTTAAAGTCAATAGGTTCAGTGATCTCGTTGAGCCTTGTTTGTTCACATAAAACGCCACTGTCGAGTTGTCGGTATGAATCATCAGATGCGCATTTTGTAGAATGGTGCTCCAATGAAGTATGGCGTTGATTACGCTTTCATCTCTAACATGTTTATATGGAGCTTGCTTTCTTGCTGATTCCATAACCCTGATGCCGTCCGGTTGGCGAGATGAGCTCCCCAACCCTGGGGCGGCAGCGTCTACATATAGATGGGTTTTGAATTCCTGCTCTGTTAAACAAATACCAACCGCAGACATTCGACCTCCTGGTCCACCATAGTAGATGAGGTCTGAGGTGTTTGGTAGACTGAATGGTTGTAGGTCGTTGAGATGTGCATTGATGAAGACCTGTAGCGGACGTAACTGTATTCTGCCTCTGACTGTCATGTCTTGGGCTGGCGTGAGGAGACCCAACAGGCTCTGCCAATGTCGTAGTGGTAGCGGAGAGTAGAGCTGGCGGAATGGTCTGTTGGATCTTGAGCCAACGGTCTTCTGGTACGACGATACGGTTGAGAGTCGTGATAAATCGAATGCCTAGGAATTGCAGATCTTGCGATGGTACTAGGTCCGACTTGAGTAAGTTTACTAACCATCCTAGCTGTGTTAGTAGCTTTATGATGTAGTTTAACTGTAGTTTGAGGCGCTGTGGATCTTGATCTACTTGTATCCCGTCGTCGAGGTAGAGCGCGCACTGCGTAGCCCTAGACGATGTAGATAGGTGACAATAGGTTTCGTTATCCTCATTGAATAGCCAGGGGCTGATGATATTCCGAATGGGAGTACTTTCCATTGGTAATGCAGCCCGTCTAGTGTAAATCGTAGGTATTTCCTGGATTAGGGATGTATCGGGATGTGTAGATATCGTCTTGCAGATCTATACTGGCCATGTAATCCATGGGACGAATCAACTGCGTAACTGAGGTAGATGTATCATCGCGAAACTTTGGTGGTTTGCGTAGATAATTTCTGTTGAATATGCTCATGTTGTAAATGAGTCTGTATTTCTCCTTGGAGTTTTTCTTGGGTACTAGGAAAACTGGGGAGTAGAAGCCTGGTTCGATGTTTACTTGATCTAGTACTTCTATGGCCTGCTTGGTTAAGAGCGATGTAACAGCCTCTCTTAACTTTGGTAGTTGTTGTGCCTGGAAGTCGAACTTGTGAGGGTTGACTGTCAGCGGAGGCGTGGCCTGTAGTGGGATACGAAATCCGTGTTGAAGAATGTTGGAGACATAAGGGTCTTGTAACATTCCCCAGTTCTGCCAGTGTAGTTGAAGGCGTCCACCCACTTGTGACGGCTGTACTGGAACGGCTGGGGGTGGAAGACTCCAGTCGTTCCGAACCTGTCTTTCAGCGTTTATAGTTGCGGGAACCTCTGGGTGCCCTGCCTCTTCCTGATCCTCCTCTATAGTTGCCATATGGGCGACGAAAAGAATCTTTTCCCCTGGAGCTGGCCATCTTCCTATCCCGTGCTCTCTGTAATCCAGTGAATTTAGATCTCCCTGAATATCTTTGTGAAGTCTGCCTGATGACGCTGGCTAGCGTGTCCATCGACTTAATCATAAGGACTTCTCTGGAATCCTTAGTGACTTCCTTGGAGACTTTCTCAATTCCTCCGTCAAAGATGGATGGGGAGGACCACGGGGCTGTATAGAGTGGAGCTGTAAAGTTCTCACCCCAGCTGCAGGAAGCGAGGAGGCCTTGACGACGAGCTAAGGTTAGCGCTGCTGAGACTGATGTGAGATGATCCGTTAGGAACTGCTGGTCCTTCTTTTGCATCAGTAGGGCCGAGTAGATCATCCTATCATCTTCAGAAGTCGTGTCACGAAATCTGGTGATAAGTGTCTCATTGATCGTTCTAGATCTATTAAGGCCAAAGAACATGCGTCTCGTCATGGTTTCTATCTGCACCAGCTTGCGATCGTCAATCTTGTAGTTCTTGTTCTTGACATCACTGATCAGCTTGTAGTTGTCATCGATGTCTTGTGCCTTGAAGAAGGGGTCCATGTTATGAGTTGAGAACTTCTTAGCGTGAAAGTTCGGTAGGTGTGGCGTCTGAACTTTCGTGGCTTTATGGAAGGCTGTATCTAGATTCTGTGGCACCGCAGCAATCGGGTCGATCGGAGGTAAGGTGACGGCGTCTGCATCGTCTTCCTTCATCAGGTAGGTATGCGCCGAGTTGCCACTCTTGGAAGGTGAAGAAAGGTCTAGGTTGTTTACCATCCAATATCGTATCTCAGCGTCTGAGAAAATGATGCCTCCATCATCTTCTACCCCAGGGTCGCTGATGAGAGGTTGATGCTCTTCAGATGGTGGACTGTGTGCTTCTACCACTGTGCCGGGTGGCGTTAGGGGAGACCTGACTGTAGACTTCTGTGCAGACTTGTGTGGTGACCTGCGAGGAGATCGGCGTGGTGATGAGCGAGGAGATCGGCGCGGTGAAAGCGGCGAGGTGATCGTCTTGGTGATCTGCGTCTATGGGTTGACCTTCGCGGAGACCTGTGAGGTGAATGTTGATAGCTCCGCGAAGCTCTTGTGGAGTCCCTCGATGTCCTTCTGGACGACGATGATCTGGAGCCAGGTCCCTTAGCGAAGGCCTTAGCGCGAAGCTTCCTCTGCGTCGGTCCTGGGAGCGGCGACTTGACCTTCCAGCGAAGGCTTTTCGTGAAGTCTGGTGGTCTGAGTCGCATCTAAGGATGAAGCCGAGGAAGGTGATGATCTATCCGCGAAGGCCAGCGAAGGCTGTACATCTGGGTCCTTCGTCGAGGTGGTCTGTGACTTCCTTCGCGAAGGTGGCTCCGTCGTGGCCGCTACGTTGACGGGGGGTCCCTCTGGGGTGTCGTCTGCGTTGGAGCCTTCGCGAAGGCTCAGGCCCTGGGCTGGCTGCTTCTCCAGTCTGTAGTGGTCTTCCATCATGATCATGATTTTCCGCATCAGTTCATCTGGGACGGTCTGCGACGAAGTAGTGGGTGCCCTCTCTGCGATGTTAGCGGCGGGGCCCTCAGGGAGATCGTCCGACATCGGTGTAGACACATCAGGCTGCATGGCGATCTCTGCTGACGTCACTGTAGCTGTCACCGGTCGCTTCTTGTGGCGTAGGTCGGGGATGATGATCGGCTGATCATCGTAGAGGCCCAGTTCAGCGGCTGGAACGATCTCGGCTGAGAAAGTTCTTGACGACTTCGTAGACTTTCCCTTGGAGGTAGACGCTGCCCTGGGGGTACGGAGTCTGCGTTGAGTAGACGTCGAGGCCCTCTTAGACTTTGGCTGCGATGACGGGATGTCTGGGGAGGCAGGACGCTTCTTGGAGGCGGCGGACTGCATCCCACGCCCCTCCTCGAGGGGACGCTCTAGCGGAACACCAGACGGGAGGGGGTCGACCAACAGCAGCTGACTGGATGGGGATTCCGAAGTATCGGCCATGTCTAACCCTTGTTTGCGTGACCTATCTGCTGCACGTCTCAAGACGCAAAGATGATATTTATTAAAAGCAGAATTAGATAGATTAATGCAGTAACTGCAACGTGAATCAAACGCACAAGGCGTAGAACAACTAGGGCATATTACATGCGGGTCAGCAGCAGAAAAACGTAATCTACAAATAGTACAGATTTTCATCAACGTAATACTAGCTGAACAATCACGAACTCACGTGAATAAACAGTAGAAATACGATTAATTATCAATACATATTAATGAAGGATACTAGCTATACCTCTATAGTAACCTATAGGAGGTAACTAACTAAGAAAACCAAAGGATATAGTGTGTAAGGAGACACAGGCTCTCACATCCTGCTCACTGGGTGAAGAAGGAGAGTGAAGCATGAGGCCAGAGGGTGGCCACCTTTTCCAGCGCTTGAAGGCAAAGGGAGGCAACTCTTGGTGAGTACTAATTAGTGATTTTACATTGAAGGGAGCTTCAATTAAGGAGATACAAGTGTTCCACTATGTTCGCAAGAAGAAGAAGACAAGCAAAAGAGCATGAGTCAGGATAAGGAAAAATTCATCATAGCTGAAGAGGGACAGATCCAGGTAGGGGGAGCTGCTGTAGGACTGTGCACTGATTGGAAGCTGTGCTAGCAGACGGCGGATTGCCTCAACTCGGCCTCCAAACTTTGCATTGATGATTGTTTGTTTGAATCTCTGCTGGATCTGCCAGGCATAGATGTTACTGGACACAGAACATGTGAACTGTGCTTCACTGTGGAGTGTTGCATTGCGGAAAAGGTCACAAAAATTCTCAAAGAGCTCAAGGAGTTCTTCTGATGTGTTTTCAAACACTGATATGACTTTAGTTGTGATCATATTATAGACTACAAAAAACGATGGTTGTGAGTTTGGATCTGGGATGCGGAGAGTAACAACATCCTCACTAGCATACTTGATCAGCAAATGATTCTCATCTAGCAACTGCATCTTCCACATTCGCAGTGCTCTGAACTGGTCAAAGTATTGGTAGAATTTCCTAAGAGCAAACAAGGTACCTTCATGTCTAGCCCTATTAAACAAGAACACTAACAATCTGTGTTTGAGTGAATTGACTGTCTCTTCACTGCGGGGATGATTCCGATTACGTGGGTCCAAGCCCTGTCTGTACAGGAGTTCATCATCTTCATAACAGAAGCGGCCGATGCTTCGAACATCAACAAACTGACCATCAGCAGTCACTTGAAAGATGTGAATTGTCTGCTGTTGCACAGACAGAACTGACAACGTGTTCTTGTACAAGTACAGGCCCTGGTTGTGAGAGAGGAAGATCTTATCACACTTGAAGCGCCGTCTGTCGCAAAGTCTACCGGTCTCCAGCTCCACAAGATGCAAAGAATAGTCCTCCAATGGTGATCTCTGGTTTGGCGGGACAGACTCGTTATTGCGATACATGTCATGGAAATGAGGGTGGGGGTCTTCCGGGAGATACACAGCTGATCCGACGATGACATAGTTCCCATCATCAGTAAACAAGCTACACTCCCGGTTCAAATGCTCTCCATTCTGGGCAACAGTTGTTGTATGTCTTAACTTAAAGAACCTCTCGAACAACTCATTACGAACTTGCTGCGATGCCTGATCCGAGGACACTGATAGAACATCGCCTTTATGGTTATTGATGAGATCTTCCGCTGAAGCTGAACCTTGAAACTCATATATTTCTATTGATGTCTGGTCTGAGGAAAATGCTATAAAATAGCGTCCACTAGGTGAAAACTTCCTGAGGAAGCATGGTGGTTTCTCAACGTTGATGACAGTGTAATTAGGAAAAACGTTGGTGTAAAACTTTCTGGCCTGATGAAACTGATTTCCTGATTTTGCTGCATTAATTTCTCTGTTCATCAAACGATGCACTACATTCTGATTTGGAATTTTACGAAAGCGTATTCCTGGTTCTTCCTTTGGTGCTGAGCAGTCACCAAAGGCAAAGATGTCTGTCTCATCACTGAAAAGGTCCAGCGGAACACTCTTGGTTGCATTCGACATCCAGTTCCTTGCTCTCATCTGCACCTCACAAACTTCAGGGTTCATTGCTACCTGCAAGAATACCGATAATGACAAACCATTACTTTCCATTGAAGTCATTTCACCAGAATGAATAAGTTGAAAACATTTGTGTCATAGGTGTTAGCAGCATTACCTATGAAAACAAATAACTGACTGAATGACTGACTGACTGAGTTTGGTTTTACGCCGCTTTTAGCAATATTCCAGCAACATCACGGCGGGGGACACCAGAAATGGGCTTCACACATTGTGCCCATGTGGGGATTCGAACCCGGGTCTTCGGCGTGACGAGCCAACGCTTTAACCATTAGGCTACCCCACCGGCCCGAAAACAAATAACATTTAAATATAGGTGAAAGATGAATGATAATCTAGACTTTCTTATGTAGTTGCTTGCATGTAACAGCAAAAGCTATTTATTTCAAATACATAGGGAAGCACATAACTCCAATATAAATGTGAGATAATACACTAAGGTATCATGCCTTGCAATATGAATATGATGAACCTGAAATTACGATGTACAAACTTCAAGGAAACAACGACCATTGTCCTAAATGAACAAAACAATTGTGCTGGGCACTGATAATGACTTGTGGCAATGGTTAAGCTCTGTGAATATTTGCAAATGTATAACTATTATTTGTTCCTTGATATTGTTGTTTGTTGGGATATACCAATGTACATCAACTTCTTTCTTTTTTTCCAAATAGAATATTTCAATGAGAGCATGAATCAAAATGACATGTTACATTTGGACACTGAAACATGTTTCTGGTGTATTGAATGGATGCAAAGACATGCAAACATGTATTTTCTTAATGACGACAATTTCATCACACTTCAAGGTGACTTAATATACAGCAAATAAGGACATCAAGTAGAAAGTTAAATATGAACACTGTGCAGCATTTCTGAGTTAAATATTGGGCGCTTCCTATTGCATTATCTTGTGTTAGGGACCGTTCATAATTTATGGCTGGGGTTGTAGGGGTGGTGGTGATGATTTTAAGGGGGGGTCACCCATTTTGTTCTGGGGGGTTAGGAGGGTCATCAATTTTGTACACATGTACTAGGGGGTCAGCAATTTTGTACATAAAATATGTTTAAAATTATGCTTAGAAATTATGGGAAGGGGGATTGATTTTGTACATGACATGCAGGAGGGTCACTTATTTTGTACATAAATTTTAGGGGATCATCCATATTGTACATGCTTCTCCATAAAAATCAGCATCACCCCCCAGGCCATAAATTATGAACGGTCCCTAAATGTTTTTTATTGATTCTATTCACATATCCCTTTAAGGTCTAAAATCAGTAATGTTTATGGCTATCAAGCAGTATGTTCGCTACTTATATTCATAAGGATTATCCATTCCGGTCACAACAGTGACAATTTGTCTATATTTGAATAGAAATTTACAAGTTGCAAAACTATTCATGGTAGTAGGTACTATAACAGAAATTGAAAATTACAGTATCATAAGATGTTTTAATCAACAGAATGTTCATATTATTTGCTATCTATATTTTGCGGGCAAACAGTTTAACGTAACTATTTAAACTGGGCTTATGGTTTTCAATATGCATGCAGTAAATCCTGATGACGCCAAATCTGTACTGTCCCCATGAAGGCCTGTTGATCACTGTTATTTGCAACTTGTCTACTGGCTTGATATGCATCGTTGACTTCAAAGTGGTATTTCAGGTATGTCAGACATACATGATGATTTGTGAGTAGAACATTTAGATAAACTTTGGAGTGTTGCCCAAAGTGATACTGGTACAAGATTTGTACCTCTTTAGGGAAATCCGTAGGCATCAATAACTGAATCAGCAAACCCAATTTAAGACACTTCAATAAAATCACTTATATTTGGTAAACATTTTAATTTTCGCTGTCGCGAATAATAATCATTCCATAACTTAAAAGACGAGCACTACTGACATTTTGTCTTGCAACCACGACCCACTAAATCTTTCACATCACCACCATTTCTAACTTTCATTTTCGCCGACGGGATGTTTACTTACCCGAGTTTGACTGGACCGAACTATACAAACCCAATATTTTCATGAACGAACATAATTATTCAGAAACAGTACATATCTGTTATTGTGTCGGTATCGTATGATCTATCGTCACAAAATGGAACCTCAGTTGTGGCTGCAAAAGAAAAAAATAACCGTATCTTTCATACTAGGGTAAAGGTCAATCCCCATGCGAGAGGTCAACCACGCGGCAGCCATTTTTGGTCAAGAGTTTGCTAGACGGAAATTGAAAAACTCAAAATTAATTTTTCAGAAAACCGGTAAGAGTTGAGATGTAATCAAGTCCTATATTTACTAACCCCTCTTTTATATCCAATTAATATTATTTCATCAGAACGAAAATGATAGATGATACTTACCTAGCGAGGTCTACGAAAGCCATGTAGACAAACTGAAAAGCTATCTTCCGCATGTGCTGAATTGAAAAATAAACGATTTGTATACTTAGTGGAAACAATATTGTGCTTTCAGAAATGTATTCTCTGGATTGAGATGTAATTTCGAAGGCTTATTTGATGTTCATTTCAATAGTATCGTATAAATAAATGTATTTCCTTCTCAACAAATACGAGTGCATTTCAATTTTCATGTTGTTGCATGCGTTTGAAATCTCCTTTATATGAGTATTCGTGAAATCACTTGATTCTTCTCGTGAAGGATCATTATTTTGTAATTTTGGGCCGTAATTTTTGTTCAAGGTTTACTTGCGTGTGTGAAAAAATGTATTGGCCAATGTATTTTGCTTGGTACTTGATTTTGGGGAATATTTACTTCCTTGTAGTAGGGTACGTGGGTTACCTCCCTTGGATCGTATGGTCCGAGCCGAATAATAAGTTTTATTTTTGCACCATTTATTAATGATTATGGAAACAATTGATCATATATATGACACCATATATTGCCAAAATCGTAAAATCTTTAGATAACAGGTGTAATATATATATTGTCTTCATTTTTCCATATTTATCATTGAGAGTCAGAAAGAACACTTTGACAATATTAGGACCACTCATTTTTTACCCCCATGTATTTGGTGGTTTCACATTAATCTTTGACTTGCTGTGCGCATAAAAATATCCACTGGTCTAGTTCCGTTTTGGTCGTATGTTTACCGATAGTGCACATCCCTTTCTCACAACTAAACAAAACACCTCTCTGAAGTAATTGTAACCAAAATAGGACATCAATTATTGAAAACCAAAGGCAAATGGAAGTATATTTACTCAGCTATGAACTGTTGTCACACATAAATAATCTTCATAACAGCTTTTTTTAAAGTGTGTTTACACTATCCGTAAAGTTATGACCAAACCGGAACCAGGCCAGTGGATATTTTGACATGCTCTGCGCATGTGCACAGCGAGTGAAAAAGTAATGTGAAACCACCGAATGCCTACTTTTAGAATTTAGCATCGGAAACTTTGCGTCATGTTACAATACCCTCTTACATACTTTTTTGACGAAACACATAAGCAAAACGATGCCAAGTCAGCCTGTTTTGGTTATTTCGTGTACATGATCCATCATCTCAGCACACATTGTCATTGAGTAGGTCTGGTGATGTGGAGAATTTTCGTTATTTGTTTCTTTAATTTGTTTGTGGCAGTTAATTGTATAGGATGCACAAGTTTATGAAAGCACTTACATTTTAAATATAGGTTACATTTCGGTTTTAACTAACTAAAAGGATTATAAATTTTAACAATATTGGACTCTTCCTCATGGCCATGCTTATGCCTTCCCGTTGTCCACATTATCAATGTTCCAAACAATGTTCCAAACAACACTCTTGCCACCAAAATCCCCTGACGAATTATGGATTACGATGTCATTTATTAGGGCTGCAACGAATACACTATGTGGTGAATATGAAATGTATCATGAATATTGGGTAACAAATACGAATAATTATTCACGAATACAATATTGTAGTTAAGTGATTGATGCACAATATGGACGCCCATGTTGACAGTGTTAATTTGTCGCAGCAACAACCAGTTATCTCATGACACTCAGATTTGGTATGTAATAGTTTATAGTGGACAGTACCATGTGTGGCCTTGGCAAACTAACATGACTTGTGCTACTGCTAGGCTAATACATATTCCATAATTGCATATCTCACTTTGAAAAAGAACATAAGGGTTCAAGTAAAACACATTCCCTTAAAATTTTTTGTAAATGTTTGTTAATATTCGGTTCTGGTGACCACGAATAACGAATTGAATTCATGAAGGGTCTCGGTTTGATTCACCGAATATGTGAGTGAATCATAACAGCCTTATCATTTATGCATACCTGTGGATTCAGTTCATCTGTCGTCTACAGCCTTTTCTTCAGTTTGTGCCATTTTGGCTCATTCCACATTCCTGTACCTTTCGGATTATGGAGTTGGACAAGTGTGTCAGTTGACACTGGGATCAATCATAAGTGTCCATATTGACTAAAGTCACAAGACTGCATGATTACTCCTAACCTTCGTAATTGTCTGCGACCTCTTTGACCAATTTTGTTCGTTTCCATTACTTTGTAACCATGTTTTCATTCGATGACCTCTCAAAACCATTTGCTTAGTGAAACATGCCATACAACAGAGATATTCCTCTTGAGAAGTTGTGGTGGTGTATTCTTAAGGTGCTGTATTGGCAATAAGAAGAGTTATTGAAATATATTGTTTTCCTTGAAAACAAAATAAAAAGACTTAGAATTCGTGATGTTGCTGACAATTTTTCATCCATAGATACATTAGCTTTCTTAATCATGTTAATGATAGGAATATATAAACCATGATGTAAATACACGTTAGTATTTTTCTGTGAATTGTAAATAATTTCATGAACATGATGAAAGTATAATCAGTGATGAAGTGTCTGGTAGTATTTTGTGTCTGGTTTCTTCACATTAATGACTTGTGTTGTTTTGATTATTACTGTTAAAAGGGAATGAAGATGCAGTGTTTTGATTGTTGATAAATGAATTGTCAGCTTTGATTTGACAATTAACACACATTCCTTTCACGTGTATAGTCATTTGACTCTTTTGAGGTTAAAATAAAGATGTTTTGGTAGGGTTAATCTTGTTTTGTTAATGCGGTCATTACATGACAATGATGATATGAAAAAGTTGAGTACATATATTGTGTGCATGAACTGCTTGCAGGTTTTACCTTATGTTGCTGAGTGCTCAGGCAGATTTCTAAATTATGTGTATCTTGGTATTGTGAAGGGTTTGCGAAAATGATGGTACTGAATGTTGTCTTCAAAGGCTTAAATAATTTGCTTGGATGATATTTCTGTTTTAACAAAGTGTATTCATCCAGAACTGCAGAAAAAGGTTCATGTTTGGGTTGCCCACCTCATTATTGATATGAATCAACAAAGCACATGTGACACATGTGGTCTCACCTCAGGCAAGTGAATTTGTTCGAAATTGCCTCTGTTCACCCAGCAGAAAATGGGTACCTGGTGGGATAAGTCATGTGACTATAACAAGACGTATCTCTGTATGCATACTTATGATGGATGTGGAGAATTCTTGATTTTGAATAATAAGATATCTGCTGGTCTGTATTCAAATTATTTCACTTTTTTAATGTACCGTAGGTTCTTCTAAAATCTTTGCCATTTTATTGTACAGTCTAAAACATTAAGATGGGAATTTCTCACACCAGATAACACTTCACCACAGAGGTCTATGTGAGGAAGTAATTGTATTTAACTTTTTAAAACATTAATAGTAATACATAAGAAAACATCAACTGGCTGTAGTCATATTAGTCTGTGGGAAAATACTTTTTCTATTGTTTGGATTCACTTTCTTTGTGGAATAACAAAAAAGTAATACTATATTTCACTCCATAATGAACACATTTATAGGATTTTGGTAAGAATAGGACCTTAAAAATCCATGATGGTCAAAAGACTGATTGGATTGGATGGTTTATCTCAGTGTATTGGTTGATTGGATGTCATCATACACAATAACTTTGATGGATAGTGGCTAATATTTATCAATCATTTGATAGACGGGTCCAAACTAATTCTAAATATTTACAGGCTGCCATCATATGACTGGAATATCCTGAGTGTGGCATAAAACATTTAAAACATTTAAAAATTGTTTTTGTGCCAATGATACATTATCCTATCAGTGATTAACTCAGTGGTTATAATCCTTATATATGTGTAATTGTAGACATTATTAAAAATAAATCTCACATTGTGGTTTAATGGAGTATTAACACTTTGAACTGTTAAAATCTTGTAAATGCTGGAGCATGCGACAGTGTATACGCAAGAATATGACATGCACATAGCAAAGTTTTCATACCCCATTAAACCACCACAATGTGAAATTCAGTTCTTCTAAATTTGACATTAAAGGGATGACAATTTGACTGTGATACTCATTTTAGATGATTCATGTTATCTGTTATACTGGAATGCAATGACCCAGTAATGGCTGCATTCACATTTACATAAGACAAAGTTCCAGTTCCCTAATTAGACTAAATATATTCACAACTCATTATTAATCATCAAGGGTTTGTTTTGGTAACTTAATATGAAAAATGACTGAGTTAACATTTGGCTACGTGTTAGAGTATTGTTTGATGCTTTAGCATTATAATTAGCATAAACATAAACGAAACTTTGCACATGACTAATTGTGTATGGAAGCCACTGTGGCTGAGTGGCATAGATTGCTGACTGTGTGCTGGATGGTGTGGGCTCAAATACCAGATGGGACTCAACCTCCAAAAAGTACTAGAAATAAACATGACATAAAGCTAAATATTTTCAATGATAACAACTTGAAACCTGTCCATTCAGATCTTTTAACATATTTTAACAAATATTTGCTCATCAATTTGCCTAGATTTGTAAAATTCTTGGCTGCAACTTCGAATACTAGTAGTTGTAAATAGTCAGCAAATGAGTCACAGAAGCTTCTGGCCTTATCCTTGTTTGGCACCAGATTGCTTGTAAGTAATAGCTACTGACCAATGCAACAGCATATTTCTGGAATAACTACCAATGTCTGTGTTTGAGATACTGAGACTTAATTGTGTTCATTTTAGATTCAGTGTCACAGGTATTTAGAGCAGTCATAGAAAGGGAAGTAACTCCTGATACCATCTTGACATTTCGTTACATCAGAGCAATTCATTTTCTGGACAAGTAGAACCCAATTCGTTTATGTGAATGCAGGTTACTGTATGAGAAAATCAACTAACAGTTCTTACTTATGGCTAAACACA